ACAAACTAAGGAGCCATCAAGACACAGACAGATGCCTGAGACGGGAATGAAACCAGAATCGAAGCGCCCCAAAAGCCAGACGCCGCAAGCGACACTTGGGACAAACAGGGCATACACAAGAAGACCGTCGATCCCACTCGAATATGCAAGGCCAAGCGAAACAAAAAAGGTACAACAACCAGAACGAATACACCCCCCTCGCATGATCTCCGCATCGCAAACATACCCTGTTGTAGCCCTGCAGGCCACACTGTACTTGTAAAGCTCCATTTTTTTCGAGGGCATTCTGCCATACAACCCAGCGACGCCCCCAAGCTGCCCCTGAACTGCTTGGGGTACGCTTGGCCTACTGCAAGCCTCATAGGCTACACACGCGCACCCACTTCTCTCTCCTGGAACAGCAGCAACACCAACAGTGGACCGAAATTGCCATATGTTTCACACCACTCAAGGGCTACAAGCGCAGGCCAAGTGTTGACGCGTCCTGCTTGCCTGGTGCAATTTGTTTTCTGCACTACACAACAACTATAATACCATCGTCGGGGGGGGACAATATTCTGTAGCGTACTGCGAATTGCGTCCCAGCACCCGCGCAATACTCATCCTGGTTCCTCCCCGTCACCACAATGACGGCGGTCTCCAACGTGATGTGCAACTCTGAACGGGAAGTCACATGGCTGACCCTCAATCCATCAGAATTCTGAAGACTTGGGAGACAGGAGAAAGCTGTGAGCCTTCCCCCGATCTCACCACACCTCGATCCACGCACCCAGTCCCCCGCAAGGGCGAAGGGATAGCTCAACGCTTCACCAACCGCAAGAGCCGTTGCTAAGGACACTTTCTGGGAAAACAATCCCCCACCAGTGTAGATTGGCTCATACCCTAGGACGAACATGAAGTATCCACACGATACTGCGATGATCGCGGTCCACAGCGCCGTCATACGCAGCCCGAACAACTCCACGCGTGGGACAGGTAAGTCGTACAGGATTTCCATCACTGCCAATGTGATTGGTGAAGGCGGGGCCGACCACTTTCTGTTCTTTGGTATCACCTTCACGCCTCCCACAACCGCAGCTACAATTCCGACGAGATTGTGCACGTCCGCTTCCTCCATGTTGCGTAGGCGACCAGAGCTGCAGCCCAATAGAATGAGCTCCAGCCACTGTTTGCCGCCACGAAATGGACGGTCCACAGCGTCAATACGCAACCTATCACGTCTACAACAGAGAACCCCCTCACCCATGCAAGGTGGTCACCATCGAAAGATTCGCCCATCAGAGCCCGGCCACTAGATGTGCCCAGTAGCTGATGCACTTCTTCGACGTCCATGTTTTTCAGAAAGCCATCAGGGTTCCCTCGTGCAATGAAACAGGTCGGTGCTACTTTGCTGCTCGTTCCACCTTTGGGTGAACTTCGAGACCACCCATTGTACGTCCTCGAGAACACCTCTCTTGGTGTCTCCGATACTCCCTCACATACCACTATCCCTAGGCCAGCCATTGCTTGTCCTTCTCCCTGCCCACGAAAAGGAAACGATCCCGATCCGGAAAACGGACAAAACGCTGTTGCGTCCGTGCATATCCTTGCTACTTGCACTACAGGTGCAGGGTTCGCGAGGTTATCGCGATCGCCCTACTCTCGCTGTTCTTCGAAGAAATGCCGGGACGAGCCGCCAGGGCCTAAGTACCCACGCGGAGACCTGCCGTGGGCAGTGCGCATGCCTAGGCGTAGCGTTGAAAGCCACAGCCAGCACGCTATCGAAACTACAGCCATTAGTCTACAGCAATAATGACACATTCTTGGACAACCTCCTTCAGTAGCTAAACCTCGTACGTGCCGACGCAGGAACTAGACGGATACGGGTACGTTGTATCACAGGTGATGTCGCACTTGATCAGTTCTTTCTGTGTTGCGACGGCCTTACAAATCCCGGTCTCCATGCCGGTCGTCGAAAGTTCGGGTGTGAGCAAACTCTCGGTCCCTGCTTGACGTTCTAACTCACCAAGGATGCCAGATCCTACGTCAACTTTTAAAGTTCTAATCTCACTTGGATGAGGCAGTGACTCGTTGGAATCAAATCTAAGCATGCAAGTTGGAGACAATTGTTCCGGTTCGTCGCAGGAAGTCCATGGATATGCGAGCTCGTTAATCCCGCGTAGCATTCCGATGTAGAGCAACAACTCGAGATCACGGGCGCTAGCATCCTCGGGTAGCTCCAACGCAGTCATGTTTTGTCCGAACTCAATAAATAGGGAGATGTGTTCGAGACGCCACATAACCTCTATGTGGAAACCGAATGCCCGTGATAGTCCCAGCCACTAATTCTCCTTCGGATCCCTGGTAGACATCGTATCTACCACCGCTGACGAGTAGAAGTCCACGGCACTGCTGCGCATGCACAGACCTTCATTTTGTTTTTTTGCCCAGTACACCGTGAATCGAATACCAACTGAATGAGAAACCACGCCCATGAACGTCTGGTTCTCATTGTACCTCAGACACATGGGAGTCATCAGTGACCTTTCCCGCCAGTTAGATGCGAACCGCGTCGCTCAGATCGCCGATCGGCGCTTGCACATAGTCGGTTGTTCGTGTAACATATTCGGGTGGGTTGGAGAAGGTCACCCATGTGTTGACGGTGAGGTAGGCCAACAAGACGAGGGTACTACTGTAGACCCGAGAAACCGCTGCCGTAGCATCTTCGACAATGGAGTTAACACCCTGTGCAGGAGTGCGCGGAGGTTAGGCGGGGACTAATTCCCGGCTGTCAGGTTGGTATTGTTGAGGTTAAGTTGCCGTATCAGAGACCACATGGCTCTGGAAGTGTTGGTAGGAACGTACGAGGGTTGAGGTGTTGGGATGTGACAATGTATGCATGACAATGCGGGCATGAAACGACAATGGTTCAGAATTTTGGCGTTTTCACGCGAGCTGCAGCATATATTGCACGACGTAGCACACCTCGCCGAATACACCACCTGCTTGGACCTTGACTAGCTAGCTCTGAAGCAGTGAAGGAGTTAGTGCATCGCCATAAAGCCCTCGGCATGCCAACGCAGTAGCATCGAGGAGACCCGCGTGCAGCACAGTAGTCAACGGCCAAATGTTATGGGTTCCTATCGACGGCACCACTAGCCAATACCGCATCAGAACATTTCTCCGGATGCCCAAAGATAGGCAGTACAGACTGCGAGAACAGAAAATGTAACAGATTATACCCTCTTTCCCGGGTGGATCACAGACGGACTTTGCGCCACCTTCGTGATCGAAGATCTAGGTGCTTTGTTCAGGCAGATCACATATTTTGCCATCAATTCGACGAGGCCAAGTGACCGGCTCTGCACATTATAATGTTTTCCGCGTTCTGGTTCCCCGATCGCATTTTTCATAATATTTCGCTGTTTCCCGCATTCCGACCTTGCGGCTTGCGTTGGTCCCGGGCCGTCTCGATAGTTTGCTCTTGTGCGTGAGTAGCTCGCCTTATCTGGGTAAATGGCTTGCTTACACTGGCTTCAAACAATCGACAGGAATATCCTGTCTTCAATCTTTGCGGGAGTTGTTCCTCTGGTTTTGCTGGCGTCGTACAACCGTGTGCTTCTCTTTGTTCTTCTCTGCGGGGCAACTTGTTTCTCAACGGTAGACAATGTTTTTTTATTTGGTGTTGTTTGGTTAGCTTACTGTCGTCTGTGCGACCTGGCCGGTAGTAACTGCAGCAATACTTCGACGATACCCAAGAGGGCCGAGGATCTGAATAGCCTCGTCATATTGCCGGAATTTGGCCGTGAGCAAACACGCTGATCGAGGATAAA